AGCCGGGAGGATGGAAGCAGAAACTGTGGAAGGGAGACAAGTTGGAGCTGCTGCTGTTTGGGATTCCAAGGGACATGAGGAGGATAGAGTTCAAGAATTGTTGTGACGTTGAGGGACTGCACTGCCTAGCACGGGGACACGTAGGCAGAGATCATGAACAGTTTGTCCTCTCTTTGCGGCGTCCTTCAACTGTCATTTGGGACACGTGTATGTCGGTTTGGTTCTGCTGCTACGTGTGTGTTTGTCGGTTTGGTTCTGCTGCTGCTGTGTTCTGAGTGGTGGGGCATTTTTTTCTACTTCTTCATTTATTTACGCATACGGAGTGCTGACAACAACGATTCGCATCAACAACATTTCGGGTGTGTGTACCAAAACAAAAGCAACACATATTCACGGGGGGCGCACGACCCAGCCTACTGCAGGTACTTTCCGCAGCACGGGTTATGCTGTTGTGATGGTGCGCGCGGAAAAAACTCCCCCCACTCGGGGTCTAGTATCTCGCCCCAAAATAGGGGCACGCCCCAAAATGCCCCGATGCCCCAAATTATGGAACAAGGTCCATGATCGCAAAAGAAGTGCTATTTCGACAATACTTAGTATTTTTTTGATCGGTGTATTATAGAAGCCGAAATCAAACTAGTGATGGTTAAGTCAGCGCTGACTATTCTAGGTTTGATTTCGGCTCAAATAAAAAGTTAGTCGTGGGGTTCGTGAGCCCCGTCATTTTCACTTCCGGGGAGGGTGACTCCCCTTGCCGGCGCTACTATCCGTCCAATGTTTATTTCGTCACATATCACTCGCCACCCACATCCTGTAGGATGTTCCAGGGTCCACGAGTCCTTCCGTCTCCCATACTCTGGCCAGGAGTATCCAGGGTCTCAGGAAAAAAACACGTCAAAGTGTCCAGCCTTGGGGTCTCGAACCCACGACACACTTTAGGTGTTGGCGTACCCTGTGAGGGCAGGGGTATTCGGAAAAGTTATGCTGCACGACGACAGATGGATTTCTTCGGTACAAACAAACGCAGGTGCATGGAGGCATGATGCGATGTTGAACACGATTGACCCCCCGAACACACACGCGTGGAGTGCTGAACAGGGCGGGGTGGAAGAAAATATCATACCCTGCTTGACCCACAGGCACTGCTGTTGTTGAATTAATCCGACGGGCAGGGAAAGACCTGTCTGTACGAATGAATACACAAGAAACTGCTGACGCTCTCTCTGGAGGAAAAAAGGCAGCAGAGAGCGAGCGAGCGAGAGAGAGAGAGAGAGAGAGAGAGAGAGAGAGAGAGAGAGAGAGAGAGAGAGGCACTTGTTGAAAAACGTGACGCAGGTTGATAAACGGGAAACCATGTTCTGTGCAGTTCAAACGACGAACACCACAGAGATGATGCAGAAGAAACAACAACGTACATTGAAGGGGGCCCTCTACTTCATTTGAACATTCTGCAACAGGAACAAGCACTCAATGAAGATCTGGAAGACGACCCGCAAGAGCTCACCGTACCCTGTCCCCAGGAGAGAGCGGGATCTACCTAGACTACGCTGTATTTTCTCCAAATGATGTGCGACAAAACCGCACATAGGCCTACTTACTCTATTCTTGCCTGCTGAACTCCCCCACGTGCTGCGAGTACAAAAAACTCAAGACAAATTGGCGCGCCCTCCTCAGTGTAAGGTACATGTTCCACGTTGTGAACAATACACGCAAGAATGCTGAGTAAGTCACAGTTACCTTCCTCGTGCCCACCAACCGTCCTTGGCCTAAACTACTCAATGGCCGCCAACCATCAGCTCAAACACATCGCATGTGCGTAGCGCTTAAGCCGTGAGTGGAAGAGGAAACGTCATAACTGGCTTCCGGAACATCCTCTGAGACACCCATCCTCTGTATCGTACACCTCCTCCCATACGACCGACGAAGATATCCTCGAAATAAGTCCCCGGGACATCTTTTTGGGGATTAAGGTGCACGCTCTACACTCAACGAAACCCCCGCGGAGATTGTCCACCCGAAAACCAGTCCACTCCCGAGGGGGAGGACAGAAATTCTGCAGCACACCACCATCCGGCATTCATTGGCGGTTGACAGATGTTCGACGGTGTACAGCCCGCCTACTTCTACGCCTTACAATGAGACGAGTGCTTGGAAAATTGAGACAGCTTGGCTCCATTCGGCCAAACACCGTAGTTGCTCTGACGATAATCTTTCTTAGAGGCATCTGCGACAAATCCAAACTAGGATATGCCATGCCGCGTTGACAAACAAAGAAACATGCTTGTCAAGCGCGAAGCTCTCCTTATCTTCCAAATGACCGCACACACCAAAACCAGTTACGGTAGCGGTGAAAGAACGTTACCAAAGACAGCCACCAAAACAAATCAAGATTCCATCGAAGCAGATCTACCGACCCGGGTCCCAAACATTTCACAAAAACCAAACAAATAACTCACTTTAAAACTCCGCAAAGTTTTAGCCCGAAAGGTGTTCTCTGCCCGCATCCGCCCCCTTCTTCATCCCCCATTCCCACCTGGCACAGCAAAATGATGAAGATACACGTCTGAACCAAACGGGCCTGACACAATAATCTTCCAGCCCACGCTCGGCGACCGTTCCCAGTTATCGACTGATCAGCATACCCGGCCCTGTGGAGCGAAGTACCGAAAAGACGTCCGAACACCGCGACTTCCGGGGAGGAGGCAGCACGCACGTGTGCAAAATTGGATACTAGCAGCAAGGTGAACGCTAGCGATGACTGAAGGCTTGCTGCAAAGCTGAATGCAGCAAAACGTCAAGTTGAAGACGACAATCACGAAAGACTCAGCGATACGTTGATGGCCTGCGATGAGATGAAGGCTACCAATATGCTGAATGCTAGCAAAACGTCGAGGAGGAGATGGCGAAATACGCGGGACGCATTTCTACAAGGCAATGCACCTGGACATAGAAGCGTGTCGACTTGGCGTCAGATATGTTACGACGAAACAAATCTGTACCCACAGCGCCGGAATTTATTCATGCACGAAACGGCGGCGGCGCGTCAAAGGACCCAGAAGATCCGGCGCTTTGGCAATTTTTCAGGCTGCTACATGCAACTACCTACAGTTCTCTAGAATCGTATCTGGTTGTCTGCTGCTGCTGTTAAGTCATGCGACGCTACTCACACACCATACCGGTAGGCTTTGGCAGTTTCGAGCAGTGCAGTTATGGCGTGTGGGGTGCTGTGGCTGTGTGCAATGAAGCACACTTTGCTGCGCTGGTTCACCAAAAAACTTAGCGAAAAGATTGTGCTCCAATCGCAAAACTCCAAGTACCTCGATCTCGCGCTAGAAAGCCTAAACTGATGAACGGCACAGTTTTGATCGAAGGGGTTGCGCTACGCGGTATGATGTAGAGGTCTGTGTCGCCTGGGGGAAAGCGCCAGAGGGGACCAATGAGATTTTTCAGCAATCGGCGGGGGCAACGCCCGGGACTATTATCTATTAGACTATAGCAGTTTGACGCGTGAAAAATAATATATATGGTTGGGGGAAAAATCGCGGAGCCGCGGGGACACAGGGGAAGGTTAGGAGCCTTGCGTAACCTCAAGAGGCATTCAAAGAAGTAACCCGCATGAGAGAAACCTTCAAGCACGACTTGAGCAAACGCTTTGAACGCAAACAAAACACCAGGCAAGCTATTGACGACACTTCTTCTCCGCATGTAAAGTACACTCCTCCGACATGGGGAATATGCTCTGGTAGCCATCAACATCGGCACTATTTCTACGCACACATTTCGAACATGCTTCAAGATTCACGTTTTCAACTCATCGGGAAGCTCACAGGAACTCGACGATGTTCCGGAAAAAACCTTCTTCCAAGCCCACCATAGTTGCCACCACACCGTTCAAGCCTCGACCGACCCGCCCGTGAGGCGTACCGCCGCAGACGCCATGCGATGATGCCGCTGTAACGCCGCCCACTCGCACACTTCTCCCGGTTCCAGCGTTCGCTCCTCCATTATCAGCTTTCAGCCGCACCTTGTACGTGAAAGCATGGCACAAGACCAGCCAGCCTCGTCGACGCCATGTCCTGTCCTTCTGAGTATCCTTCAAAAGCTTTCCAATGGGAGGCACCTCTGCATGAGTAGTATCGGTGACCCCAACGCGATACTCCCAAAGCTCTCCCGGGCTCCGGCTGTCCTGCGAGTCATCTCCGTCGTCCTTGGCGATTTCATCTGCACCCCATCTCAACAGCAGATCCACCAGGGCGCGAACGTCTGCCAGATCAATCCAGCCATCAACTCCAAGGTGTAATGGTGAGCGCCCATCATTGCCTCTAGCACGAATGTCGGCACCGCTCCTGAGAAGGGTCTTCATATCTGCGCGCATGTGAGAGTAAGCGGCGACAAGAAGGGGGTTTCTACCGTTACTATCGCGGGACTCGATCGCAGCACCTCAGGTAACGAGGGCGCCGATCGTGGCGCCTCAGTTGTAGTTCTCGGCGGCCTTGTGTAGAGCGGTGCACCCATCCGAATCTCGAGAATCTGGGTCCGCGCCGTGTTCGAGTAGCTTCTCCACGATCGACGTAGAATGACCAGCAGCCGCGTGCAGTGCGGTGGATTCCTCATCGTCACGAAGATTGATGTCCGCACTACCGGCGAGATTTAGTTCTACGCAGGACGCGCTACTTCCTTGGGCGGCCTCGTGAATGAGGCCCCGGTTACTGGCCGTCCATTTCGTCGGATCCGCGCCACACTCAAGCAGAGCGGCGGTGGTTTCAAAGCACCCCGAACGAAGAGCTTCATGAAGAGGAGTACCCCGTCTGTACCCTCCGCCTCGAGGTCGGCCCCTGCAGCGATGAGCGCTTCAACTACCACATCTTCCTGGACAACAGCTGTGTGCAAGACGCTGACGCCATTGGTTCGGGTAGGTACCCTTCACGTCGGCCCCGTGTTGTTAACCCTTCACCACATCTAGTCTCGAAAAATAGGCAGCCAGGTACAGGGGAGAGGAGCCATCATCGGTGAGGAGGTTGGGGTTCGCACCGCCGACCAAGAGGGCGGTCACAGCAGCGCCATGGCCTTAACATACTGCAAGGTGGACCGGCCATTCACCTTCGGCGTGGAAATAGTTACCACCACCCCCGTGCCTCATGAGCGCCGTGACAGCTTCCGCGAACCCTTCAGATGACGCACAATGGAGAGGAGTTCAGCACTCCTTGTCCATCGCGTTGACGTTACCCCCGGCGGCGGCAAAAACATCGATGACCGCCACGTTGTTGTTGGAGGCAGCAGAATGCATTGCAGTACGGGCAAGCTTGTCCATCACATTCAAGCTAGGCCGGTGCAGGAGTAACGCTGTCACGGCCTCAGCATGGCCCCCAACCGTGGCGAGGTCTAACGCCGTCTTTCCATCCTCACCACCACGAAGGTTTGGCTGTGCACCCTCGGCCAGGAGTACATGAACGATGGCGGCGCTGCCGCCCTCAGCAGCCAGCTGAAGAGCTGAGAACTGATCGCCGTTCACATTGTTCGCGTCAGCTGCGTGCCGCAAGAGAATGGCCACTCCTTGCGATTACCCAAGCTCGGTCACCAGGTGCAACGGTGTTTCACGTGTTGCACCATTTGAGCGTCAACCTCAGCACCGGCTTCTACAAGGGCATCGATTACAACCGTGTTCTTGTTCGAGATCGCCAAATGAAGAGCGGAAAGGCCCATCTGATCATCCTCCCCCGCCCGAAGGTTTGGCTGGGCTCCCGCGGCCAGGAGCGCATGTACCATGTCAGCTGCGCCATCCTTGACAGCCAGGTGAAGAGCGGAGAGTCGATCACCGTGCAGCTTGTTTGCGTCTGCCCCGTGACTCAACAAAGTAGCCACGGCATTCACTGAAGCAGTCCTTGCCGCCAGATGCAGTGGTGTGTCACCCGCTCCATCCTCCGCGCGGGCGTCGGCCCCAGCCTCGACAAGCACCCGAGCCGCAGGAACTTGGGCTTGAGCGGCAGCGATGTGTAACGGAGTCATACAGGCAGCGCCAACATCACATACGTCAACCCCGTGTTGCTTCAGCATGCGCATGAGGTCCACATGGCCGACGTACGCAGTATTATCCATTGCCGATCTGTCTTCATCGCCGAAGCGGAGGATGAGATCCGCGTGGGTAGAAACCAGAGCTTCGACAGCAGCACGAGAGCCTTGTTCAGCTGCTACATGAAGAGGCGTATGATCGTTGCCATCAAGCGCATCGGGGTCAGCCCTCTGGAGTAGCAGTAGCGCAAGGATGCTGTGATGGCCGTGTCGCACAGCGACGTGGAGAGGAGTATCGCCGCTCTCGTCCGGCTCTCCTGGCGATGCCCCCAGCCTCAGCAGCTCCGCAACGACCACCTCCTGACCTCGCCTCACGGCTGAGTGCACAGCAATGCCTCCTGCTCCTGCTTGGGCGAGCTGGACAACAAGATCTGTCTTGCCCGCAGCCACAGCATGCTCTAACGGAGTCCGAAGCCACTCTGCCCACGGCTCTATGGAGGCCCCAGCACAGATGAGGTCGAAGATGGCTGCTTCTGCACCTGTCAAGATGGTCCGAAGACGCTCTGTTGAAGAAGAAGAGCTAATCCGTCCGCTGCCAGTCATTGGTCAAGAGGGGGAACACACGCTTGCACAGCAGCTAAGCGGTCCACCACTCTAGGAGCGGGATGATGGTTTACGAGGTGTGGAACAACCGCCGCTGCCTCTGGGTGCCGTTTGCCGCTCTCTTGTGCGAGGGTGCAGGGAGTTGCAGCTTTGCATGTAGTTACTACATGTCTCCCCGTTAAATTCGCGGGGACGGACGGCATGTTCCTCGACCCCCTTTTTTATATGTTCTCAAGTATCACACAACAAATCCATGTCTATCTATAGAAATAAGTCTAAGATAGATATCTAATTTGCGTGTTGATCCTTGCTTCGAAACCTGAGCTCACAAGCACATTGAGGGTATACATATGGCTGAGGCAATGGTGATTACGTAGGTAGAGGTGCCTAGACGGCATGAGACATTGCGCCCGGAAACAATTGAGTGCCCACCATCAAAGTTGTGCGTGAACCCTGCTCTCCGCAAGTGTGTCGCACAAGCGGCAAACCCCTCGAGGTATGCAGATATGACCTGTTGGAGAGCTTGGTGCGCCCGGCGCAGTTGTAGACGGCAAAAATTAAAGAACCGCGCGGCGAGTTTACCGGCAACGATAAAATACAGTAAACTGCCCGCGGGTGTGGTAACCCGCCGCATCGGTGATGTTCCGGAGCGTGATGGCTCTGATGTGTTGACGATGGTGTTGTGATAGCTGTTGTAATGGCGTGATAGCCTAGAGGCGTGACAGCCTGGCCGCTTGATAGCTGGTGGATATGTAGTATGGACACGGGCGCGATAGCCCAGAGCGTGATAGCCGGGCAAGGGAAGATGAAAATTATCCAAGGGCACGTGGCCAGCATCATTGCAGACGCCTCTACCCAGAAAACAACAATATGTGGCAAAGATGGAACCACCATTCCCCCAATTTATCACAACTGCGGAACCCCCAAAGTTCCCCGCTCCATCTTCTCAGAACGTTCCTCGGTTGCACTAATCTGTCAATACTGGGAATACATCCAACAGCCCCCCTGCTCACTGCATTGTCAAGATTACTCCCGGACTTAAGTATCACGCAAAACCCAGCCCGAACACTCCAGAAATCAATGTCAATGTGCAAGAAGAGTCGTATCTCCTCCTGTTTCT